ATACACCGTTTAATTCGTTATAACATTGAACGATTTTTGCAGCACGGCGACAGCTCAGCGTTGAATTGGAAAAACTATCCGCGCAACTATCCCTGTTGATTGCAATTTCATTTGTCTACATTTATCAGCTTTTCATGTTAGAGCATGTTTATCAGGCACTGTCTCCACTGTCTCCACTGATGTCGTGATAATCATGTCATGGCATTTTTATTGTCCATGGAAACCGCTTACTGCTCATGGGCTGCAATATATGTCAGCGCTTATCGCCTGACATCTATTGCTGGCAATCTGGTAGTTTGACAGCCACATTTTCATTTGAAAGAAAGCGTCCTGGTAGTAACATCGATGAAATTTTGATATTAAATCAAAAAAAGAATCTATTCCCTATTCGATTACTTATGAGTAGGTTTTAGGTAATTATTCAGCAAGTTTTCTTAGGATTGTTTTTTAAACACTGAAATAGAGGGAATGGCTGACTTCCAAAACGTACCAATACAATGTTTGGATACCGTTATACTGTGGTATTTAAACTGTTTTATATGCAGAGTTGCAAAACATTGCAACCATATATATTTCCTTATTTTGAATATTCAATATAACAATGAATAGCCTTTCGTAATTTTCAATTTTCACGACGCCAATCGCAACTAAAAATAAACGAAGCATCACATCACCCTTGTTCCTGATGCGCTGATTACTCTAGCGATGCGTTTCGATAACTTTTCGGAAGTGTCAGCGCACGCTATCCCTAAATCAGCGCGACGTAATTTTTGACGCTTTCTCATTTCCTTTCGTTTTTATTCTTGTTTGTCCTTTCTCTTTCTTTCCGTCTTCTGCATCCAACTTCAACACGTAACGCCCTGTCAAAAATTAATATTGCATTTCCTCGGCGCTAGCGTCGCGTTATTGTGGGACGCTCCATACAAACTGTACGGGCATCAGGATTTTTGACAGTTGTTTGGCGCTTGATGCGCCAATTTAGCAGTAAGACGTAATTGTTGGGTTCAACAGTTGCCAGCAGTTTGGTAGCGGTTGAGCTAAACAGCTACGTCTTATGAACGCGTCCAATAACTTCTATATCCTGCCGTGAGTTGTGTAACTGCTTACTGACAATGCTCATTTAACAGATTCCTTAAATGGCAACTCTTACGTTTTACCATACCATACTAAGCGCTCTATTCCGCACACTGACAATACTGACAGAAATGGAAATAAAAGTTAAAATCGCAGTGGTTTTCAAAAGAAGAATGTAAATGAAAGTTTGAATGTAATAAAAGTTTTTAATGAAAACAAGTATTTAAAGAATTTAAGCTTACACGTCTATCGTCTTCGCTCGTCGTCGTTCAACTCCACTCGACGTTCTTGCCTCTCGTCGTTTTTTCTCGTTTTTCATCGTCTCTTTTTTTTGTATGTGTTATCCGCGTCTTTTGATCGTATTTTCATTCTACGTCAGTTTATCATTTTTGAAAAGTATCTTCTTCTTATTTCAAATCAGCTTCACCATTTACTTCCACATTCGGCCATTTTGACTAAGAACTCGCCTCGAATTCCTTGTTGCTATCGTTGTCTTCGCCAACCTTGGCCCATGGTTTGAGATACTCTGCACAAGACGTTGTATTCTTTGGACCATCGCTGCCGCCCACCTTCTGCACGTCATATGAATTGTTGTGCTTGACCTTAACAATTTGATAGGGCCCCAAAAACTTTGGCTTTAGCTTAAGGTTGCTACCAAACTGCGTTCGTTTTATGGCGACTAGATCACCAATGTTATACTGCCTTGCACTCTTTCGTTGCAGATTATACGTCTTCTTGTTTTCATTTTGTACTTTTAGAATGCTCATTAGAATGCCTTGTTTCATAGCTCGCTTCGATCATCGTTGAATGAAGGACAGCAGTTCTTTGTTGATACAGTCATGCAGTTAAAGAGTTTCTCGAGTTCGCATCTTGGCCCCAATAAGTAACTCGAAAGGAGTAGTATCAATGCTTCTACAGTATGTCGAATTTATAGCTTGTTGAACCTTGCTGACCTGTTTGTACCACTTGGCTGCGTCGCCGATGCTGAGTTTTGAGAGAACTGAAATAATGACGGAATTCAGTTTCTCCACTTGTCCATTTACCCGTGGTAGGCCAGTCGTCGTTTTAATTAACTTGATACCCTCGTTGTCGCAGTACTTCACGAAGTCTTGTGAGGTAAACGCCGAACCTCTATCTGATATGATATACGCGGAATTACCAAACACTGCACTTTGATTGCTAAGACGCGCAATCACCTCGTTCGAAGTTGTTGATTTAGTTGGATACAGCCAGCAAAACTTTGTGAAGGCATCGATAACGGACAAAATGTGTTTGCAATCTTTGTGCGTCGACTCTAACGGTCCCAAAAAATCGATGTGGTAAGTATGCAGTGGTACGTCTTCCTTCTGAAGTGGATGCAAAAATTCTTCTTGCTTGTCTCGTTTGCGATTACTCATGATGCACGGAATGCAACACTCGATATAATTTTGAATCTTCTCCTCTAATCGTGGTATGTAGTAAGTTCTACAAATCAACTATTTTGTTTTCTTTGCTGCGAAATGACCTCTTTCGTGCGCATTGCTGATTATCTGCCTTTGCATGGATTTAGGTACAGCTAACAGCTCGACGTCGTTTACAAGTTTGTATATAATACCGGATTTAAGAAAATAGTCTTCGTAAGATTTTGTACCGTCGCTGATGATTTCTCTTATGGCTTTTAGTTTTTCGTCATGTGCCTGCGCCTGTTCAATGCCGACACAAATGCCGCCTTCTGTCCATCGCATTAACTCTGCTTGCTCTTCGTACTCTTGCATCCACGTTTCAATAGAAATAGAGTTCGTGCCGTCGAAATTACGAATGCTCTCTTCTATGTCGCGATAACTGATTGCGAAGCGTGACGGCATCATTCCCTCTCCTGCTCCGATCAGCATTGCCGTTTTGGTCCAATTGGACCAAAATTGGTAGGTTCATTCTCCTTTGGTAGCTTGGTTGGTTTGATGAACCTTTTGGTAGGCAAAAATGTTTTGAAAATACAACCGAATTGAGCACTAAAATTTGTTCGCTTAATTTATGCTTACACGTTCAAAACATTGCTTTCATTTATTAAGCAGACAATTCTGCAAACAAAAACTAACTTCCCAAAGCTATGATCGATTAGCTGTTGAAATAGAACGAGAAATTACTTATCGTCTTGAAAAAAAAATTGATGATAGGCAATTTGCAATGTGTGGGTGTATTGGTAAAAAAGTGCGAGTGTATGCAAATTGAAAAGAATTTGGGAATTTTTTTTGATTGAACTGCATAAAATGTCTGATTTTGTTTTTTCACGCACAAAAAAAAAATGTTTCAATAAATTAAATTAAACTCTAAGATATTTACATTTTTTGCAAAATATTTTTATGGAATAAGTAAATTCTTTTATTTAAAGGCACGAATTTGTTTTGTTTAACATTAAAATTTGTATGAATTGTTAACTAATACTGTAAACAATAATATATGTAGTTTTTATTTTGGCTGTTAATTTGTGCTGAAAATCCCGTAAATTCAAGAAATCTAGCTTTAATGAGGAAAAAAAGTTTGGTAGTTTACAAACTGATTTGGTAGGCGTTTTGGTACCTAATAATATGTTCAAGTGGCCACACTGGCTCCGATCATTATTCTGCCGCTGTTACCTCCTTCGTTTGCGTAGTTATTGTTGATGCTGCGTTGTGCTGCTATGCTTTGCGCCTGCGTCTTTGGTGTTGCAAGGTGGTCTATTGCTGTGTTGTTTGCGCTTCTAACTTCTTCATACACTTCGTCGTTTGTTTCGTCATCCGATTCGTTGCCCGTCGTATTCTGCTCGCGCATGCTACATGCCAACAAACCTCCTGCTTGCAAAATTTGAAAAATTTTAACGGCTAACTGCTCGCGTGATGGTTTATACCTAGCACATTACACACTGACACCAGATCTGCTTGGGTTAAATTGCCTTCAATATATTTAAATTTTTCAGCGTATTCTTCGCTTTGCTCAGTGAAATCGAAACCGCAAAATTCACGCAACCGTCGTCGATTGTTTCTATCGCCATCGTCAGTGTTACCGTTGTGCGACTAAAGTGTCAAATTGACACTTTTTGGAGATCGATGCCCCTTGACACCGACTTTTAAAAAAAGGCTTATTTTGACACTTTTCCAAAAAATCATGTGACTTTTGTCCTTTTCTTTGATTTAATATTCTATATACACATTTTGACAATTCCTTCGTAAATTATATTTTTCTTACGTGTTTAAAAATGCTTTTAGTACTTACTTTTCAAAGGCACTTAAAAATTACACCTCTGGCCAGATTTGGACTGATTTCAGCCTCTTTATTATGTCAAATATTTTCCGAATAAATGTCCAGAAGTAGCATGAATTAATGCACCGTTTTTGGAGCTTAGCATTTCCCCCAATTTATTTGTGTTAAATTTATTATTTATTTAATGATTTATGTACTTTTTTTAACTGTAATTTTGTTTTCATACTAAATGCAAAATATGCATATTGCATCTTTTTAATATATCCCTCATCAATAGGTTATTATTTTAAGAGAAAAAACTATTTTTGACAATTTATTCAAAATAATGGGGTATAGTCATAGATGAAATAAAGTGTACTCTAAGCTGCTTTTTTGGCAGATTTTCCGTTAAAAAAGGTAAAACTAACGTTAGAGTCGATTTTATTTCGACTATGAATATGCCCTACCGAGTTCCGAAAGATAAAATAATGAAAGTCTTTATATACATTGTATAAACGATTTGAATGACTTGAAGACACTTTTTTCGGCTGTGACCCCAAAATGTAGGTTTTGTTTATTTAGATTTCAAATATACACAGTTGGTTTTCAAGAGAAGAATGTAAACGAAAGTTTGAATGTAATAAAAGTTTTTAACGAACACAAGTATTTAAAGAATTTAAGTTTACACATTTATTTATGTATGTATGTAATTATCTCAATATAAATTACAGGCGTTTGCTTCAAAACATACTGACGCGGATGACCTATTCAACAGCATGAACAATAAATATTTTTACTACACTAGAACAAGAGGATTATTCAGAATATGTTTCCCAAAAGAAAGACCACCTCCAAATGCAGGTGAGTTTGTTAAAAATACTATTTAAATACCATGGCTGCAAATCACTCCAAAAATCGGTGCGGTTCGGTTCAGTGGTTCGAACCACTTAGAAAAAACTTGTACCGGTACAAGAACCGGTTCATGAGTATCCCTGAACCGCGGTTCGGTTCGGTTCAAATGGTTCAATTTTTTTTATGCTAAAGGATAAAATATTGCACAAAATATTTCAAATGTATAATATATAAATAAAAGGCTTTGTTACCGAGATCAAATTCAAATATCTACATGTATAGTGGTGGAAAAATAGATAGGGGCGCGACATTTTAGCAAGTTTTGGCTATTTTTCTTTTGAATATTTAATGTTTATTTTTCTTTTTAACTATATAACTCCAAGTTTCATGCGTAATACCCTAAACAAAAAAAGAATTACTTAAAATCAACGCAATCAAGAGGAAATTAGAAAAATGTTCATAAACTCTTTTAAGGTTTGGACAAGCCGTGAGCCTAGTCGAGTAGACAAAAACAGCATACTCAGAATTTTCAATTGACACTCAAAATGTTGGCTTAATGTTGAAACCCTCATTTTCAGTAGGTTGGATCTTAAACTAGGCTTCAAATTAATATGTACAAGTATACCTATGGTCAAAATAATAGGAGTGCGACATTTGACAAATTTTTTTTTGTTGGTTTAATGTTCATTAATCTAATATATACAAATCTCGTGTCATGGTGTTTGTGGTCGAACTCCTACTGAACGGCTCGACCGATCTTCATGAAATATTTTGTGCATATATGGTAGATATGAGAATCGGATGTAAAGTATATTTCATACCGCTGGGTGCAGGGGGCGTGGCACCTCCCATACAAACCGAATTTTTCACACTGCATATCTCTGGAAGTGTTCATGGTAGAGTACTCGAACATGGTATGGAGATATACGAAAGCAATCGCATACTCATGGCGAAAAATTGTGGTTTTTGGAAAAGGGGGCGTGGCACCTCCTATACAAACCGAATTTTTCACACTGCAAATCTCTGGAAGTGTTCATGGTAGAGTACTCGAATATGATATAGAGATATATGAAATCAATCGCATAATCATAGAAAAATTGGAGGTACTGGAAAAAGCGGCGTGACACCTCCCATAAAAACCGAATTTTTCATACTGCATATCTCCGGAAGTGTTCATGGTAGAGTACACGAACATGGCATGGAGATATATGAAATCAATCCCATACTCTTAGAGAAAATTGGGGCTACTTTAAAAGGGAGCGTGGCGCCTTTCAAACGCACTGAAGCTATTACGTATCTTTGTATGCATATACACTTTTGCTAGGTTATTTAAGATGGCAATGGAAATATGCCCTCTGACAACCACCACACCGTAATGTTAGAAGATAAATGCGTCACTGAAAATCATGATCGTGAACTTCTGGTGAAAATGTTCGACCAAAATGGTTTAAATGCAAAACATGAATTTTGGGCGGGACGAAGTTCGCCGGGTCTGCTAGTTTTTTATAAAAGTATAGCTCGTTATATAACGGCAACCATATAAATCCAAATTAAAACTTTGCACGATTATTAGGCAAAATCTACAAATTTCAACAAAATTGCCCCAAAGTATAAAATTTTTTAATCAGAACTAAAAAAATCGAAGTATGCAGTTTTATATAACTCATTCAATTTTAGTGTAATGTGTTAAGTGCAAGTTTGAATTATTTTAAAACTCGTACTAATTTTTTGATTTTTTTTGCTTAAGTATTTTGTTCCATATAAAAACATTTCGGTTCAAAACCGGTTTGCAGCCCTGTTAAATACAAATTACACGAAAAATATTTAAAATGCAAATATAAAATACTTTTATAAAAAGTATTTAAATACAAAAACCATTTTTTTGAAAATACAAATACATTTGAAAATACTTTTGAAATCATATGTACATATCGTCACCTGAAATGTAAAAGGCCGTGTTTGGAAAAGCAATAGCATTATAAAGTTCTAAACAATATTTATCACTTTTCGTAATAATAATGATGCCCTTCACTGTACTTGCTCTCTTAAGTCTAGTTTCTTTTACACTAGTTTCTTGATTTGCCTATTCGATACCGTTTGCATTCTTGCTCATTGCACACACACGTCATTGGTATTCTACCCTGATAAAAGCATTTTAAGCGCAATATGTTTAGTATTTAAGGGCAGACGGTATTTGCTGTAATTATCATTTTTCCTGAAATATACATACGGTGAACATAGTTGAACCCTTTGCTTTGCTTTTCGGATGTTTGATCTATAGCAAAAATGCTTGCTATTTGTTCATGGTGACCCCGACGTGGTATACACATTTGGATTCTATCGCATTTTCGTAAATAAAGGAAATGGAAGTTTGATCGCTACTGCTGGCTTGAAAATTGCTCCTGTAATTTTGTTGTACAATTAACTATTCTTCATCGTTATTTAAAATGTCGCTTCCACTTAGCTAGGAAGGAGGATAAAAAAGTGCTAAAATGTGCCAAATAGAAAAATAAAAGTGCCAAAAAAGGTGCCATTCTTTTAAATTCTTCCCATTTAGCATTAAAATTAGAAACACATTTCTAAAACAAAAGTCCAATGCCAAAGTAAGATAAACCACTTTTATACACTATAGTAATTAGAAAATTTTAGTTAAGAAAAAGAAGTACATGTAGAGGATTTCACAAAAATGTGTTGAATTATTATTATTTTTCAAAAGTGCCATTTTGGCACTTTGTGCCAAATTGAAAAATTAAGTGCCATTTGAAGTAAATTAGGGCCAAAAATGGCACGGTTTGAGCCAAGTTGGCACCCTTGATCAAGACCTTCCTTACTTCCGCCAAGTTACTTGAGCTGAACGCGGCGGCACTAACCGTGTGGCTCGAGGCGGTCGAGCGCACGGAAAGAAACCTTGACAGCGTACAAACGAATCTTGAGGAGCTAGACCACTTCAAGCTGGAAAGAAACGCGCGTTTAAAATTCTTCGCTTCTTATATAGACATCAAAACTGCCATAATCATGGAGCAAAGTGATCGGAAGTCAGCAGAAAGGCGGCAATCAATTCCAGCGCGGCAGTCTTCGTTCGATGAGCCTCCGCTTCGGTTGAAAAATTTCAACATCTGCGTTCAAGCTTAAAAGATTCGGCCTCTGATACGATTTCTTCGCTTGAGATTAGTGATACAAACTAAAAAAAGGCGTCGGAATTATTGATTAATCGATTCGGTAATAAGCGTCTAAATTTATATAAGGGAACTATTTGCATTGAAAAAGGTGGGTCCTGGGTCTTTCTCGAAGCATCCTGAATTAAGCGACAAGGTTAAGGGACATTTGCGTGCTGTGCAAACAATGGCAACGAAGGAGCAGCTAACCGATTGCATGCTTATATATTTCATCAGCAGCAAAACTAACCAAATACCAACTTGGGACTCAATGGCAAGATTTTTAGAGAAACGATGTCAGCGGTTGGAGAGTGTGGAACTTGTCTTGGTAACGCAAACACCAGGCCACCAGGTGGGGAAAAAATCTACTTGTACTAACAACAATCGTAAGGCATTCGTAACATCCACTAAAATTTGTTCGGTTTGCATTCTCACGAGCATGCAATACAACAGTGTCCAAAGTTGTTGAGTCTGTCTCCCTCGGTGACGTAGAAGGAAGTAAAGCGACTACAGTTATGTCTTAACTGCCTCAACAAAGGCCACTTGATAAAACTTGCACCTCTGGCTGCTGTCGACATTTCTCGGCCAAGCATCACTCATTGTTGCATCTAAATTCCGTTGCCGAATCACAAACTCTTGATGCGGTGTCCTCATCTACTTAGTTTTTCGGATCCTTATAAACTTCGGCACAATCAACCGTTGTCTCGGCGTCTTCATTTGCCACGTTACCTACAAATTTTCTGGCAATCTCACCTCAAAATTGCGTGCTTCTCGCTACAGCTATCGTTCATGTAAAAAGTTGAGCTGGATCTCTTGTGCCATGCAGAGCATTGTTATATGGTAGACAGACGGAGAAAATTAATTTGAATTAATAAGCATAAATGCAAATTAAAATTTTACCCTTACAGACGGCAGTAATGCGAATAAACCAGCCGCAAGGTCGTGGGTTCGAGTCCCACGGTCAGTATACTTTTTTATTTCTTTTTCATTCTTTTTTTTATAAGTTCTATATTTTTTTTACGTTACTTTCAGTTAGTTGTTGTTAAATTTTTAACAAAATTCATCTCTAAAAATTAAAATTAACTAATAGTAAAATAAGAAATGTGATATAAAATAAGGCAAATGAAAATAAAATAAAGTAAAATTAAATATATAAATAAAAAAAAATAAAAAAAAAATAAAATAAATAATAAAAACAAAAAATTTTTCGCAATCGCTCCAACCGAGTATCGAACCTGGCAGCTACAGGTTTGTAGCTCGCAACTCTCACCACTCGGCTACCGCGTACGCGAAACTCGACTGATTCGTTTGCTTACTTGTACAAAAAACAACTGCCCGTTTTTACCAGTGTTGTCATCAAAAATTCCCCGGATCCGAGTTAATTCCCAAAAATTGCGTGCATTTGTTTGGCTGCTTATGCTCATTTTAAAGAGGAAAATGCATGAGTTAAAACAAATTAAGGCTGGTTATGCAAATAATCGAGCCCGTTTGTCTACCGTATTAGACTCGGCTTCTCAGTTAAAAATGTCTCAGGTTACAACCCTCATATCTGGGATCGGGAAATCTGAATTCGTAGCAGATCACATAGTTGATCTTCGTATGCATTATCGTATTGACGATTATGCAACTTCCTTATCTGCGGTTGTAACACCAAGCATCACCGATAGACTGGAGTATACCATAAAATATATCCCTATCAGATCCGTGGTTTTTTGAGTCCGCAGCGCATAGATCTACTCAAAGGTGCTGGCCTTTTTTTAGCTACTCTGCGTTGGTCAAATTCGCCTTCAGGAGCACCTGCCTCTACTGCAGAAAACTCGACTAGGATGGGTATCTGGTAAAAGGCTTGCTTGT